GGGTTTTTTGCCTTCCTGACCCCACGCGAAGGCGCCCGGGCTGGGCTGGGCTGGGGGCCGTGCCTCTCCGCCCTGCGCCCCCACCTGGAGTCCCCTCCTTCCTGGTCCGACGCTTCGACCCCACCTCCTCCCCATGGGCACCATCTCTGCCATTCTTCCTCCCACGGGCCAGGCCGGGCCAGGTCCACCATCTGGGCTCTGCGACCCCCTCCCTCCACCCCCGCGGGGCTGGGCTTCGTGGGGATCAAGCTTCGTGGCTTTTTATGAAGAATCCCAAATCCCGCCTAGGAGCCCGCCCCACCCTCCCAGGGGCTCCACCCTCAGCCCTCCGCCCACCGGGCCCAGGGACCACAGTGGCTGGACCCACCCAGGACCGGGGCGCCTGGGCCTCTCCCCTTCCCCAGCTGCTGGGGAGCGGAGATGGGGGCTTCCCTTTACCACACCTGTGGCTGTTCCCACATCCCCTGAGTATCCCAGGAAAAATAAAACGGCAGAACTGCACTCGAGCCAGCTGCTCTCTCCAGAAGAAGCCACCTCTGCCCGGGCGTGGGGGGTAGCGGGTGGGCGGCCGCCAAACCAGAGCCCATCCTCACGCTTTGGGAGAGCGGGGTTGCCAGGGGCCAGCTGGGGGAAAGGGACGTCTGCCCTCTGGTGGCCACAGGAGGAGGGGCTGGGGGCCGGCGAGGAGGGGAGGATTTCACCAACCTTTCCTCTTCTAATTCAGGCCATTTCCCTTTCTGCCTCCCAGGCCCGCCAGGGTTCCCCCAGAGAGACAAGTTCAGAGTCCAACACCTGATGCACAACAGCGTGCTCAGTAAACAGAGAACGTGGCTATTCTTAGATACGGACAAACATTGGCTTCCCTTCCCATGAGGGTACAGTGTTCCCTCCACCAGTCATTCCTGACCAGCAGCAGAACTGTGGAAATTTGTGTTGTCACACTTTCCGATGCCACGATGGGTGGGCACTGGGTGGGGGCAGTACGGGGATGGAGGGCAGAACTTGCCTAAATAGGAACCCAACCTGGTGGTGAGGCTGCTGTTTACTGGATGCTTACTGTGGGGTGAGGAATGAGTGCTCCATGCGATGTAGCTCACCCGTATGACAGATGAGAGAACCAAAGCTCAGAGATGTCAAGTGACCCGACTAAAGTCACAAGGCTGAGTGCTGGACCCAAGTCTGTAATGCCAAACCACGAGCTTTTAGTTCTATACTCTTCCATCTCAGGAAGGGTTGATGGCAGTCCCCAACTGGAAAGGTCGACTTTCTAGTCCTTGAACCATCCGTAGGGCTGATGTGTCACCCAGAGGCAAGAGAAAAAAAAAAAAAAAAGACTTCTAGAGTTGGTTACTTTTCTAGACCATACCGGACTAAACAAATTTTCATTTATTCAGCAAATGCCAAGAACTGGCACAGGCCAGGACATAGCACTGAACAGGTGTAATTTTCTGACATTTGGAGCTTACCATTTTGTGGGGAAAACAGACAGTTTGAACAGCAGTTGCCATATAACAGCAAGTGCTGGAAAGATGAATAGGTATCAGCCACTTGAAGAGGAGGCCTGGGACCAGGAAGGATGTTCTAAGGTCAGAGAACAGCTATGCCAAGGCCTGGGGGAGAAGGGTTTGGGAGAGCAGAGGATTGAGCGCAAACCACGAAGAGGTTTTAAACAGGAGAGTGGCATGAAGCTACAATACTTAGCAGTCCAATTTGGAAGACCTGAAAAGCAAAAAGTCATACACACACACACACACACACACACACACAACTACAGGAAAATAGAGGACACACATGTGAACCAAATTCCCTAAAGTGAATCAGCTTGGAGCAGATCCCAGATTCCTGGCTTACGTCCAAGACTTTGTGAACAGGCTCTGTTCTTGAATGGGGTTTTAACAAGTACTTCAGGTGATCCTCAGAAGCATCCAGGTTGCGAACACTTAGAGCAAATGAGTGGCCAAGAGTTTCTATTGGAAATGCCCATTTGTGTGTTTCCCATAGACTGGCCAAGCAAAGCCTCAGCTGGGTCACTTTACCTCTCTGAGATTCAGTTTTGTCATCTCTAAGACTGTGAGTAATCCTATGAAGCAGGCATTGTTATATTTTTATAGGTGAGAAAACTGAGGCTTGAGTGGTAAACTAGTTTACCCCAAATCACAAAGCTGGGAAATGGCTAAGTCTCAGTTTACCTCTCTACGTTGTCGAGCTTTTTATGGGTCTTTGTCTTTACTCAGAAACTGGGATGGGTTTTCTGGGCACTGAGGAACAAGTCAGCACCCTAACTCATTCTGCTACAGGCAGGATATCTAAAATCTCCCCCATAAGGGTGGGTGTGGGGGAGTTTCTTGTGGTGTGTCCTAGGAGGTTGTTCTGGGCTCCATGGATACGTGAATGATTAGATTCAGTCTCTGTGCTTGAGTTGTTCTCAGTCTGGTACATAAGCAGAAAGGTAGGACCCAAAGGGAGGTTCAGAGGAGACCGGGGGGAGGGAGCCTTCAATAGCCTAGAGGGGGTCTAGGAAAGCTGTCTGCAAGAAGGCCCTTTAGAACTGGGTCTTGCAGGGTGAATTAGATTTTTTCAGTCAAAGAGGAAAGGGAGGACATTCATTTTAGGCGAAGGAATCAGCTTGGAAGTGTACGCATGAAGAGGAATGATGGGAGAGACAGAGACTGGAGAGCAGTGACAAGCCAGGACAGGGGGTGGAGAACACCGAGATATGTCCAGAAGGGACCTGTCAGTGAGGATAGAGAGGTTTCATGAGGAAGATAGGGAGACCACTGAGGGGGTTGTCAAAGAAGCCCAGGTAAGAGCTGATGATGATGAATTGGGACATTCAGGAGGTAGTGGCGGTGAAAGCTGGGTCTAATACAAAGCTGGGAATAATACAAAGATTTCAAGATGTCATTCAGGGTTTTGGTTTAGCAAATAAATAAATGGACATAGGATATAAGGATGAGTAGATTTGGGGAATACTAAATATTCTGGTGACTGTTTGCTGAGCCAAGTGTTTTATACACATCAGATGATCTGGTACTCAGCAACCCCAGGGGCTGGGTACTATTCTGTCTTTAAAAAATCAATTAGTGTAAATAGCTTTTCTGAAATTAGCAGCCAGAAGAGTCAGGATTTGAACCCATATCTGATTCCTAAATCCCTGCTCTCAAGCCCCACTTAGTCTGCCTGACAGACCAGCCAGTCATCACTCCAGTCACAGCTCAAGGGCAGGCTCTTGGGGAGCCTCCCCTGTTCTTGCGGGGCACACCTCTGTGCTCCTTGTGCATACTTGGTTGCAGTTCTCCATTTTGTAGTCCTGTCTGCTTCACTGGTAGTCAGAGAACCCCTGAGGGTAAAATGGGCTACCTCACTTTTGCATCCCAATGCCTATCATGTGTTATTTGCTTGACTGAATGCTATTTATTTTAGGCAGTTTTGTTTCCTTCTTTATGTATCCAATTAGCAAACAAGTTCTACTGACTTTCCCTAATTGTCTCTTTATACTATTCCTTTCTCTCCATCTCTGCTGCCAGAACTTAGCCTGGGGATTTTTGAGATCATATAGAAGGGTATCAACCATGGGAAGCTTCCTACCGAGGTACCCCTTATGCCTGAAGAAGTCAGAGCCACTTTGGTACAGGAAGGTGGAAATGGGTCCCCACTTAGATTAGCAAGCATAAATAAAGCCACAGAGATGAGAAACAGTTATCTCTGCACAAGGGAATCTAAGGGGACTTTTATATATGGGACTCAGTATATGTTACAAAGATAAACAGATATGCCTGGCAGAGACTAGTGGAATGAGATGGGGAGGCAGGGCTACATGGGGCCATTACCACTTGAATTTTGGTGTTTTTTTTCTACCCCTGAGGAAGAAGATAAAACAGATACCTGTATAGGACACAGTGGGGACATGGAGGATGGAGTGAATATTTGTACCTGAGGGACTAAGATTTAGATTTTAACTATATTTCAATTATTTGTAGACTACCAATGGTACCACTTATTTCTCTGCTTGTAATATGACTGGCACAGCACTTTACATAAATTATCTTATCTAACCCTCCCAACATCCTGTGAAAAAGTGTTATTACCTTTACACATAAGAGGGAGAGGAGGCTTCGATAGATTAGTGTTTCCAAGGTCACACTGCTAGAAAGCTAGTCCAGATCCAAAGAGTTCTTAAGCACTAGACTATATTCTGCTAAGGGGAGCTTCTTGAGGTCAGGGAGCATGTCCTTTGTTTTTGTGTGCCTAGACCTAGGTCTTAGAGGATGCCTAATAAAAATCAGTTGAATAAATGAATGAATGAATGACCTTTCACTTTCTCCACGCCCAGAGCCCAAGTGGTGTCGTCGCCAGGGAGCCTCCTTTACACGAGGGGGCGCTGTGGCCACCTCCGCCCAGCGGGACTCTTTCGGACGCCTAGCTTTTTCCGTTCTGGCGTCCAGCCAATCGCTGCGCTCGGAGAGATCTGGCGGCCTGGGGGCGGGGTTCGGGCCCGGGCCCGCTGGGAGGCTGGGAGCTACGACGTGGGTGCTCCCGGTCAGTGGGCGGAGAGCGGGGCCGGGCGGCCGAGTGCGGGGCGCGGCGCAGGTGGGCGCGCGATCCACGGGGCCGGTTCCTTCCTTGGAGCGGCAGCCGGGGCCGCCCGTTGCCGTGGCGACGCCGCCCGGCAGTGACCTCTGAGTTAGGGGAGGGGTGACACCGAGTGTGCGATCCAGCCTGCCAGACCCGACGGCTGCCTCTCACCGGCTCCGAGGCAGAGTCTAGGCGCCCAGCTGACGCTCTGTGGCCAGAGCTGCTGGCCTCAGGCACGTGGGTGAGGACGGTCGCTGACGAGGCCTCGAGTTGGTGGGGCACTGGGAGGGCGGCGACCGCCCGGAGAGGGGAGAAGGCTAGGATAGTCTGCACCGCGACTGGCTCGCGTCCGCGTTCGCGGACGGGGCTTGAGCGTTGGTGAGGGCTCACTCTCCCGCCCTGTCAGGCCTGCTGTATTCCCATGAAGCCGTTCCCAGATCTCGGGCCGCGGCTCTGCTTTGGGTCTCTGGGCCTCCGTGACCCCGGCAACCCAGTTGACCTTTACCGGCTCTTAGGCTCTCTAAACATCCGGCTGGAAGGATGCGTCCCAGTATTTTCGAGACACTTTCGCCCCGTTTGATAACCGGGGGGTGGCGGTAGCGTATTTAACTTCTTGTAATCAACAAAGGCACCTGCTGTGTACCTGGCTCCTTTTGAGGTCAGTGGGTGGGTGGATGACTACTGTGGCTTTACACTAATGAATTACTTGAGCTGTCCTTCATTCATTCATTCATTCATTCATCAGTTTTTGAGCACCTTGCGGCATGCAGGGTAGCAGGGGGCCAGTGATGGTAGGGCACAATAGCCCCTGCCCCGACCCAGCACAAACCCTGCTCTCTTGGAGCTTAGAGTGTTTTTGAAAAAATGCAGATTAGTGGAGTTGGCCAGCACAGTAGCAGATTTGGAGAAAGTGATTTTAAATATTGGATAGGTGAATAAATTGAATTTGGGAATGATTAGAGTGTGACCAAGGTATGAAAGAGAAACACAACACCTTGTGCCGAGTGAGAGAATAATTGTAGACTCATGCTCGACATGATTTCAGACAGCTTGGATATCTGAATGGAGAGTTCCTGTTTCGGGAAAATGTTTTCTTATAGAGAACTTGCTTTAAAGGTAGGAAAGCTCGAGATTCTTCAAGGATGCCTCTTTGAGCAACTGAATCCTATACTTTCACCGAACTCCGATTATGATCTTAGAATGTGTGAAAAGGGCAACTCTAGATAGTGAAATGCCACGCTGAGGGGTGGGGGCAACTGCAGGCCCTCCCCAAAGTCCAAGATTTGAAGCGAAAGCAGACAGCTGTCCGCAGAGTGGTCCTTCCACTGGAAACACTGCGGCTAGGGAGGTGGAGAGACTTGGTTCAAAAGCAGTGGCTCTGTCACTTCTGGTGATCTCGGACAATTTAACATGATGTCCCTGAGCTTTTGTGACCTTAGACAAAACTCTGGGGTAATAATTCCTACCTCATAGAGGTATGAAGATGAAATGATGACTAGTGTGTGAACTGTGCAACATGGTGCCTGGCGTTAAGACAGAGGACCTAGAGGTGAATCTGCCCTTTTCCCCTTGATGACTCCATTATAGCATTTGGTCCATAAAATGCTGGAAGTCCTCCAAAGAGAGAGACAGAGAGTCATCTTATTCTTGGTGAGTTTTCAATTACTTACTTTTGATCAGAGAGAGCCAAATTAGAGAAATACCTACAGAGATGTAGGTTGAATGATACTTTAGGATAAGCCTCTTAAATCCTCAAGTAATGCCATCTCCCTCCCCCAGAGAACATAAGGCTCAAAGGACGGAGTGTATGTAAACTGTTCAGCCTAAGGCCTGGCTTCATTAGTATACTTACTAAATGGTGGCTGCTGTTATAACTGTGAATAATCTTTGAGACTAAATGGCCATTCGATTGACCCAATGTTTGTGCTATTGTGTTATACTTAATTTCAGGAGACTGAGGACATTCCACTATTTTTTTCTGGTCATGACTTAGAGAAACTTCAAGTCCTAGTGAATCCAGAGTATACATAAGAGGCTTATGATATTTTTATGAACTTATTATGCAAATGTGAGGGTATGGGTTTGGTTGAGAGAGTATTTTGAAAGTGGTTTAGTTAGCAGTTTGATAAAGTATGAGTTTATTTTATTGTTAGAAAAATCCACTATCTAAAATCCAGGCTGACTGGCATTTGACTCCTCGGTTAGGTCCCTTATACTGTACGTGAGGCAAAGGAGCTACTTCCTATTACCCTGAGCTAGGAAGCTCACAGTCGAATGTGGTTGGTGGAAAAGCGCTGGTGGTGCTCATAGAGAAATTGTATAGTGCAGAAAACGGCTCTCTCCATTTTTGACGTTGGCAAACTGTGGAGGGTGGGCCTGGGGTCAACAACAGACTTGACCTCACGGGCATGCTGCCAGCATGGTCGCACAGTTGGCACAGTGTGGTGGTGCCGGAACTAGAGATTCACTCCTGCTCCCTCACAGTTGTCAGAATTCCCTAGATTATTTCAGGGGCCCTACTGTTGCATAAAGCAAGGCGTCATCTTGCATTGTCCCAAGTGGGCTAAATGTTCGGTAAATTGTGCCAGGCTGCTTAGTAACTGAAGCGCCCTGCTGGGTTGTCCATATTTGGGGGCGGGTGCTGACTTCCTCCCAATGCTGCTTGTGCTCTCTTGCAGGTGTCATGTGGCCCGTGTTCTGGACCGTGGTGCGTGCCTATGCTCCCTATGTCACATTTCCAATCGCCTTCGTGGTGGGGGCTGTGGGCTACCACCTGGAATGGTTCATCAGGGGAACAGATCCCCAGCCCGTGGAGGAGGAGAAGAGCATCTCAGAGCGCCGGGAGGACCGCAAGCTGGATGAACTGCTAGGCAAGGACCACACCCAGGTGGTGAGCCTTAAGGATAAGCTGGAATTTGCCCCTAAAGCCGTCCTGAATAGAAACCGCCCAGAGAAGAGTTAATGGAGGACACGGGACCCAGGGCAGGGCCGTGACTGGTCCTGCTACCAAGTTCACCCAGCCTCAGCACGCACACCTGGTCCGCTTTGTTGCTTATTCTGGCCCTTGTCACAGCCCCAGCTACACAGGTTCTGGCTGCTCGGCTACGCCAGACACACACACCTGCTGCAGAGGCGTCAGCGCAGAGGAGGACCCTTGAGGGCTCTGGTTTGAAGACTGCGTCTGCTGTGTTGGCAGGCTGTGGTCACGGGTGCACTGCTGGAGAGTGCTGTGAAATGAACACTGGTTCTCAGTCTCCCTGGAAAGGCAGTTTGGCCTCAAGTGGGAGTAGCTGGGGCTGGGGTGTTGCCTGTAGGAGGGAACCTATGTGGCTAGTCCCGCTTGCCCTGGGAAGAATTCAAAACTACCGTGGCTTCTTCACTAGTTTTCCTTGAACTTGTGTTCATTCTTCCTGAAACCCTGCTCTATCCGCTCAGGAGTGGGATTCCTCAGGCACGGAAAGCAGTTTTCTGTTCTTGGACGCTCAGGCTGTTCACCTTGGGGCAGGTGCATTTTCTTGAAAAGAGTCACCATCTTTCCACCCTACCACATCACTGTATAGTGCAAAACCTGATTAAAATGGCACTTGAGAACCATGTTGATCTAACTCTAGATGGTGTGTGGGGCCTGCTTAGGAGATGCAAGAGTAGGCGTTTCAGGGTAGGGAAACGTCAGCCTCTAACTGAGGACGCTGGGACGTGCAGGAGCCCTAGAGTTGTATGGTGACCTTGGGTCCTAAGGCACAAGTTCCCCACGAGCCGAGAGGTCATAGAGCCGTTCAACTCTAAGTCAGAGGAGCCAGGAACTAAAGTCAGAGGAGCCAGGAACTAACCATCGCCATCAAAACAATGCAGTTTCATGCGCACACACGCCCTTTTCCATATAAAAGGTGTAAAGAAAACATGGAAAGATTAGAAAAAGGTCAGCTACATTCCCAGGGCTCTAATACAATTAAAAAAGGTCATCTTGCTGTCTTTCACTAATTCTTGGCATAGCTTTTTTAGATAGTTACCATTACCATGCATGCGATTTTGTGTCTTCTCACATAGTATTTTATGTAGTAATCATCAAATCGCCTTCTTACCATAGCTCGTGATAAGCTATTGTTTTTGATAGCTCGTGATTGTTCCCTCTCCAAGTGAGAGTATGGCATAATTTGTTTCTAGTAATTTCCCTATTGCCAGACTTGGGCCTTTTGGTTGTTTACTAGTGTGATACCACAATGCTGTTCTCCCGGATTTTGAACTAAATGATAGGAAAAGTAAATGGCATTTTGGGTGAAATGGAATGAGCCATTTTAAGGGTCTCGATGCCTAAAATTATGTCTTTCCAAAGGGGCTGTAGAAGTTTATACTACATGCTGCCCCTTAGCCCGTTGCTGGTGAGACTGGACGTGAAGCAAGAGTAGAGGCCTCCTGAAGTTGACTGATGTTTTGCCTAAGTGAGCAAACGGAAATCTGGAGCATTTGATGAGGAATGGGCTCCTTCCAAAAGGGAAAAGGTGTTTGCCCTGCTTCTTGGGATCTTAGCTGTTAAGAGGTGGGTGAAGGTAGCATTCCAGGACTGCTAGAGATGCTAGCCGTGGAAAGGGAGGAGCAGGGTGATGTGGAAGGTGGTGACCTGAGCAGGAGGGAGCAGGTCAAGTCTGGGCTTGCCTTCAGTGTCGCGAGGCCTGTGGGGAATTGGAAAACAGCTTTTGTTGCTTCTCAGGTGCTGCAGAAAGCCAGACAGCCAAGGAACTTCTCTGCTATTAACGAAGACTCGGAGTCTAAATGAATTTCCAACAGGGGGAGCTGGGAGAACCCCATCAAGAGCAGCTCTGCCTCGTACTTTCCCCAGCCCGAGCTTTTATTAAAGATACGAACAAAGGAACAAGAAAGTAGCACACAATTGTGTTTATGCTTCTACAAATTAATAAGTTACAAGTGTTTTAGTCAATAGGGGTAAGCGCCCAAGCCAGTACATCTCAGAGAGCAGAGTCAATTCTGGGAGGAAGCTCTGTTTCTCCTAACCTGAAACGTATGCAAACAGATGTGTCTCAGAAAACTCCGGCTCCCCTTTAGGGCTGCAGGCTGCCAACACTCAGGCGATAAGTCCCGTGGGGGTGTGGGGGTGATATCTGCTACTGAGGAAAGGCTGGGTTTCTGGTTTTCTAAATAGAAGTGCTAACTCAGCGGGGACTGCTGAAGGGCCCGCCTCGGGGACAGGCCAGTGCTGCCTCCCGGTGGCGGTCCTGAGCACGACCAAGGCGGGATCCACCACAGGGCTTGACTAGGAGCCGTTCAGAGGAATAGGAATGCAGAGCCCTCAAGGCCAGAACCTAAGGCCCAGGCCTGCCTAAAGGGGGCAGTGGCTACCCAGTGGCTTTCGGTTTGTGTGGCTTGCCCAGGGCTACCAGATTTTCCAGTTTTTTCCCCCTAAGAGATAAGAAATTCAAATTTGTGTGTGTATATGTGTGTTTTTTTGTAAAAGAAATCTAAGACCCAGGGGCCTCCAACTTGTGACCTCTCCGGCCACCTTCCTCTAAGGAGATCCAAGAGGTATGGATTTCACAACTTGGAGCAAATATTAGACCCCAGGATTGGTTTCCCTGGAAATACGTGGGCATCCTGTACCTATATAGTTTAACACGATCAGTTAAAACATTTGAGGACAGATAACCCACAGAAGCAGCACCAAAAATGTTTTCCCACACACTGGGACATTTTTGGCTCTCCAGATATTTTAGAGTCACCCTGTCACCACCGCTGTACCTCCCCCCAGTGCTCGCTGAGGAAACCCTATCTTTGGAAATCCAAGTTGCTCCGTTCTTCCACTCTCACTTTGATTGTGCCCCCTTTTAGATAATTTCATTTCTGGGGCTTGCCCTCACTAGGTTTCTGCCTCCAGCAAGTCTATTAATATTCTCAGCTAGCTTGCTTTCCCACGGGCTGGCTGTGAAGCCATCAGATACACAGCCTCGCTGCCTGTGGGCAGAGGCAGGCCAGCGTGCTGGAATGAACTGGGGCCTGGGCTGGTTTTCTTCCGAGCTTGCTGATTCACCTGGGAGGCATGTGGCCCTCCAGGACTAGCCCAGCGGTCACGAGTCCCTGGAACACGTGCCTGCGCTTGTGATTTGGGCTCTGGGACGGCGGTGGCTTTAGAGGGGTTATCCGTCTGAGCCAGGCAGGAATAGCTTCTCTGCCCTTCGCAGCCCAGCGTCTGGTGCTTTTCCACTCTCTAGAGCCTTTCCTGTGCTTCTTGCTGTGTTAGCACAAGTTGGCTGGGCAGCTGCCAGGACAAGCTTCAGGGAGCCCTTTGACATGCCAGCGCCCCAAGGCCCGTGCCGCTGGGGCTGTCCTGATTGCCGAGGGCTTAGCCTCCCTGGAGTCGCTGGAAGAGGAAGCAACGGCTGTGGAGGTGAAGATCTCTAGCCTCGCCCTCCTTTCCTTTCCACTTTGGCGTGAGTCCGGGAGTCCTTGCAGAGTACAAGTCCAATGGACATGAGTCCGACAGGCTGGGGTTCTGGACACTGCCGCCACACGGAGCTGAGTGACCTTGGGCAGGTCACAGGCTCTCAGCTTCAGGCCCCTTACCTCAGAGCAGGTGACTAGGTAATTGTGAGGTGAGGGTAACAGGCAGAGTCCTTGTAGCATCCATAGCAACTGTGGTGCTCAGAAGGTGTTGGCTGCATTTGATTGCAGGAATAGTCTGTTTCCTGCATGAGCCTTGTGGGCCAGGGACATTGAGAGCCAGAGGAGCGAGCATCTTGGCTGGGGGTGTGATCACAGGGACCTTCCCAGGCCTGGTGTTGGAGGACTTAGGAAAACGAGCTGGCCACAGGTGTGCAGGCGTCAGGACTGTCTTGCATGTTGCTGGTGCTGCCTGTAAGGCCAGACCAGTGTGGGGGTGCAGAGTTGCAGGGTGCTGGGAGTGTCATGTTTCAGGATGGCTGGAAGAGAGAATCCTGGGCTGGATGATCTGGGGACATGCTCCTTCCCTCCTGGACTTGGTTTCCCCACCTGCACCCTGGGGTTAATGCGAGAAACTAATAGTGTGGGTATTTTTGCTCAGTAAAACTGCATTTTTACAGGATTGGGATGACAGTCAGTCTGAATAATGAAATAGAAATAAATGCTCTTTTATTCCTTTTCTGTATTTACTTTGAGAGATTATTGCCCAAAGTTCTTGGGAAATCAGTTGAAGAGTCAAGAGAAGTCATTAGTAATGATCAGTTTGTATCTACTTCCAGTGGTGCCTCTGATATACTTAAAAACATTTAATTCTTGAATTCAGTTTATTAACATTAGTTATCTGTCATTAAATCCTTTTTACATAATGCAAAGCTAGACCCTGGTTTTGTTTCTTTTCAGAAACTTCCAATGGACCCTCCAAATATTTGCGATTTTAAAGAATCTTGGCTGGTATCCTCGCAAGACAGTTCTGTCTAGAAGGGCTCTAGGTCTTTCTGCCCTTAGGCCCTCTCTCCTTTGCCCCCTTCACCTCACTTCCGACCCTGGCTCCATCATGCATTTCTGTTCGCTCTGGGCCTGGGCTGCCAAGTGGAGCTGGAGAAATTGGCACGACCACACTGCCTGGTGCCTGCCTCTCTGGGGTTCTGGGTGCAGCTTTCAGGTGCTTTGGTTCTTTAACCAGACTCCACCAATTGCCCTGGTGCTCTTCTCTGCTGCTACTGCTATGCTGGTGAGGCCCTCGTGGGTGGGGGCTGTTGCAACAACTGCTTTCTCCTTGCACTGGTCCTAGTCCTGCTCTATTATTGGACACGCCTCTTGCCTCACTGCATCTCAGTTTCCGCTTGCAGCTCTCCCCGGTCACCACTCCCTCTGGTTTTAAATGTCCAGCTTGCCTTTTTTCCTTGCTGGATAGTTTTAGCTTCTGTGGCTTTGACCACCACCTGTCTCTACGTTGGTGATTCCCAGGTGTCCGTCTCTAGTTGTGAATGTCCCCTGAGCTCCAGATCTGAAACAGCTTACCATACATCTGAAGGCTAGAAGTGTTGGTGTGGGTTTGAGGCTTAACTCTTACCAAGTTAGGGCCCTCCCTGGTGGCACAGTGGGTTAAGTTGCAGCACTCTGAACCTATCCACAGCCACAGCAGCATGAGTTC